GACAGTTATACACACACACACAGTCAGTTACAAGCAGTTACACACAGTCACGCACACTGTTACAGGAAGACAGTCATATACATAGTTACAGCCACACACAAGACCGTTACAGGTAAACAGTTACCCACACACAGACACAGTTACAGGCAGACCATTACACACACACACACACACACACACTGTTGCAGGCAGACAGTTACACACACACACACACACACACACATATTTACAGGCAGACAGTTATACACACACACACAGTCAGTTACAAGCAGTTACACACAGTCACACACACTGTTACAGGCAGACAGTCACATTTACAGTCACAGGCAGACAGCCATACACACACACACACACACACACTGTTACAGGCAGACCGTTACATACACACACAGCTACAGGTAGACAGTTACGCACACACACAGTTACAGGCAGACCGTTACACACACACACACACACACATATTTACTGGCAGACAGTTACACACACAGAGTTACAGACACACACACACACACCACAGACAGTCACACAGTTACAGACAGTCACACACACACACACAAGACAGACAGTCACACAGTTACAGACATTCACACACACATATTTACAGGCAGACAGTCACACACACACAGTTACAGGCAGACAGTTACAGACACACACACACACACAGTTACAGGCAGACAGTTACAGACACACACACACACACACAGTTACAGGCAGACAGTTACAGACACACACACTCTTACTTACAGACAGTGTGGGATGGAGGAGTGGATTCCCTGGCTGGAATTCCTTCCCTGGAGCCTGTTAAGTGGAGGAGCAGGGATTTCTTCTTGCTGCACCTCCATGTGTAGCAGTTACAGCAGATTGTAAGGGCTGTGGTAAGCCCCGCCCCCACTTGCAGTTAGGCCCCTCCCCTAAATGTTCATAGCTCCGCCCCCTTCTTCCTCCCGTGTGGCCAGTTACGCTTGCTGGTCTCCGTGTGAGCTGTGCAACACCCCAGCTGCAATGGGGCACAGCTCACACGTCCCCCATTAGCCCTCAAACCAGGGTCATGGCACCCCCCTACCAGGTGGCACCCGGAGCAGGCCGCCCCCTCTTTAGTCCTCCACTGCGTACCTCATATGTCTGCAGTCGGAAAGGGTTTAATCTAATACTGTCAGGGTCTTACCTGGGTTGGGAGTCTGTAGCGCAGATATGTTGCTCACCCTTGCAGATAGCCACAGGCCAAGGTGGTCAGGTAAGAATTCACCCGGCCTGTGGGTCTGTGCACGGGGGCTGTGCAGGATGAAGTACCAAATCGCAGGACAGGCAAGGACAAAGGATGCCAGAAGACAGGAACAACGAGGAGTAGCCGAAGTCAAGGGATGCCAGAGGTCAGAGTAAACGTAGTCAGAAGCCGGGGTCAATAACAAGTAGCAGCTCAAACAACAGGAACACTTGTACAAAGCACACAACAGGATCAAAGACTTGATGCTGATCACAGGGCGAGGCTGAGTTTAAATACCCTGCTAATGTCTGATCAGGGTCAGGTGAAGCACAGCCAAAGTCAAGGTACAGCCCCCAGAGAAATAGACATGCCAGGATGAACAGGACCAGAATGACATAGAAATACAAAAGCTGCTGTGGCTCAGAGGAAGGAACCAGGACTGCGAAGTTCCCCGGTTCAAGTCCCTTGTTGGGAACTCCATGGGTGACCACGTCTGGCTGTCTGTTTGCTGCGGCGAGAACCGTGACTTCTGAATTCTACATGCTACAGGGCTACCCTTTTCCTGTGCTGCCCATCAATATGTATATGTTATAGGTGTCCACAGAAAACATGGTGGATGTTGTCACTTTGAAAATGGGCCAGTGCTTCATTTTCTGGCATATAGGTCAATTGTACAGGGGTGCATTGCTAGGGGTGGCCATACCCAGACTGCAGCCAAAAGGAACCTATAAAGCAAGGGTGTCCAATAACTAATTTCAGGCTTCTTATTGAGCTGCAAACCCTGCAAGTTGATTTGAGTCTATAGCAGAGAGTTAAATTAAATCAAAACAAGTTTGGGGTGTTTTTCAATCTTGTTATCATGTTGGTAATATATACTTTGAAGAAGCCAGCCCTCCACATGCAAAAATTAAAATCCAAACTTTATTGGAAACACTTTGAAAAGTAGACAAAATGTTGTAAAAACCAAGTAGACTCCACAAACTCACACAATAGCACATTAGCAATATTAACTATATTAATGATACAGACAGACAGAAGATGAACACATTATACATGGTAAATGAAAATGTCATGGAAACCCTCTTGGTGATAGACCCAATCATCTGTGACTGCTTCAACATGAGTGACTATAGAAGATGAAAGTTATAGTGCTTGCTGTTAATATTACATGGTCACTACGTATACACTGTATTTATAAGTGCCATTCACATAACATTTGGAAATATGTGACTGAGATCTGGTTAATAGCTGGTGCTGACAGTTACTTTAATTTTGAGTGTTGAATGTTGCTGACATCTCAGGAGTTAGGCAGAAGCCTATTAATAAAAGGGTGACTGTTTTATATACATATATACCTTTTGTTAGGCACGTGGATGCTCCAGGTGCTATTTGTGCAACTACACATAGCTCAAGTGTGCAACAAGCTCTTCCAGGTGGTTGTATTTTTTGCCCATAGTTCAAGGCATTTTTTAATATATAAATGTATATACAGGATATTGGACTTTTTCTTGATCATGCTTAAGAGAATAACTCCCAGATATTTTTCAGGTGCAACCACATCTAATAACGTCAATTAAATATCTCACCCACACACTGTAGTAAGGTCCAGTAAAGCCAACACTAAATACATCTTAATAGCCATTTGCCACCAGACCAGCATTTCATACCGCCCAACAATTACAGATTTAGTTAGACAGTGCCGAATTGAAAAATTTTCTGAAAATCCTGGGTTTGTTCCATGTGTTCCACTTCTCCACTTCAAAATTACCCTAGTAAGCACCAATCATTAGATGTGCTTCCTCTACATAAAGTAAATCACATTCAGCCATTATGAGAGCAATTTATTAGCCACTAATACTTGAACAGCATCACTGGCACATCTCCTTCAGAACTATCCCCTCATCCAAAATCGATACATCCCAGTGCATGAGATGTATAGAGGTGGGAGCAGAAGGAGCCACGAGAGATTGATAAGAAAGTATATGCAGGATATGGCTGAGATAGAGACAGAAAGAAGGTATGATGTATACCTGGAACAAAAGGAAAGAATGTGACAGGACAGAGGGAGAATGCACAGTTTTTCTGTTGGCTGTGTGCTACATCAATAGGGACCACAAGCATCTGTAGTGCCATGATTAACAACTGCTAATTGATTACATTTCCATAGATCAGGGTTAGGCAACCCCAGATGTTGTGGACTATATTTCCCATAATGCTCTTTAAGTCATAATGCTAGCAAAGCATCACAGGAGATGTAATCCACAACATCTGGCGTGCCAAAGTTTGCCTATACCTGCCCTAGATGTTTGTGAACTGTATGTCTGATACAAAAAAAAAACAAAAAGCACAACACTGACAGGTTTCTCGATGTGTAAAAAAAAAAAAACTTTAATGTTTGCTGCAATTGTAGCTTTCTGAACTTAAAGAAGCATTGTTGCTGGATTTATTATTATTTAAACATAATGAACACAATGTAAAACCTAAATTAAGAGCTAAGCAACAGTGTAGATAAAATTAGACCAAGTATGTAGAGCTACTCAAACTCCATTTGAGAATGTGCAAGCAAAATGTAGCTTTAGCCTGAATTAATATGTCCACTTATAAGCCTGACACAATTACATTTCTAACCTGATATTTTTTTACCCTCCTATTGAAAAAACGTACGTCTTTGTTATGCTGTGCATTCCTTGTGAAACCTAAGAAAATTGTGTGAGAATAAAAAAAAATGAAAAGGCTAAAAAAGGAACACAAACGCACAGTACACATTGCTAAGGTGACTTTCGCTCGATCCATCATCGTTCTCTATTCTTTTTTTGCCCTGTGCTCGGCTCTCACTAGATCAGACAGGTAATTTCTGCCTGGGTACACTTGCCCTACGTGTATTTCTCTAATAGTAATTTAGATTAACAGGAGAAAGCTACTATTGCAGCAAACATTAAAATGTTGTTTGTTTGTTTTTAACACAGAGAAACCTATCTTGGTTATTTAAGTTATTTTCATTTTTCACATTTTAGTTTTTCCTTTTTAAACAACAATTACAAGTTGTGTTTTAACAGTATTATTACTATCATCTTGGTTCATGGGTTTACATTTTCATGATGTTCAGCAGCTATTAGGGTAAGATAGAAAATGCTTCTTTATCAATAAACATTACATTCTACAAGTTAAATCAATTTCTTGGGGCAATATTTCCTTAGATGTTTGAGAAATATATTTCCCATGACGCTCTGACAGCATTTACTGTGAACTTGCTGGAGCAATTAAACTATGCAAATGTAGAGAATGGGTGTAGAGATAAGGAACGTGCTAGGCCCATATGGAACTTAAAACGCCAACACTCAGGTGCAAATGACCCTTGGCAAATTTGAGGCAATGCATTGCTAAAACTAAATTGATAAGAGTATCAATTATGGAAGAATGCTGCCTTATGTAGGTAATGAACCGTCACTATTACATCATTACATAGAGTAAAGGGATCTTTTACTGCTTTCTTTACACGGCTGTGCAGAAAAATAATGCAATAATTTTTTATGGCTGCTAAAAATAGACCCAGCTGTACAGAGTATAAAATGAAACTACCAATGCATATACATTCATTAAATGGACACTTGGGAATACAAGACAGCTTTAGCTTTTAGCTATAGTTTAAATATATATATATTTTCACCACCCCATTCGAAAATATTTTATTTTTCCTGCTTGCTGTGGTACATGCTATCTTTGGCATTCCTAGGTGTCAAAAAAATCAGGTGCTTCAGCCCAATAGTATATTTTTTGACCCTTCTCACATACATTGATTTAAGCACCTCCCAAAACCCTCCTATACCACTCCTTATTACTGTTTGTTAAATTGCCCAGTGCACTATATACTAAGCAAGAAATAACATCCCAAGTGCAGATTTTCCAGTAACCATTTCTACTGATCCTGTAAGTAGAAGAGAATATACAGTGCCAGAATGTCGGTGAACTACAAACACTTACTGCTTTCTCCCCAGCCATAGACTCATGACTAGCAATTAAAGGGTGCCAAACATATACTCAGGACCTTTCCAGAGCATACTTGGGGCTCCAGCCCCGGTC